TAAGAAACCAGCAAAAAGCACCTCTCCTCCATGCCCAAAGATAAATAATTCATTTGTTGTGTAACCGCTCTTGTTCCAAAAATAATTCCCTTGTCTCAGCTTGTATGGGGGAGGGGGAGCACAGCTTTGTGGCTGTGCCCCCCCACCCCCCCAGCAGAGGGGGAGGTGCAAGGGCTTCACAGGGGGAGGGAGTGGGGAAGGCTCATCTTAGGAGAAGGGCACAACTCGGGGCAGGACAAGAGGCTGAAGGCCAGGGACACCCCCTAACACCACCTCCCCAAAGTGCCTCCTTGTTGAGACAGGTGAGGGAACCAGAGGCCCGGGGGCGGGGAAAGAGTGGCTGCAGGCTGGAGCATCCATCAGAGGCCAGAGAGGGCCAGGGACTTGCCCCAGGCACACAGCACAGCCTGGGACAGGACTCAGGCTCCTGAGACACTGTGAGCCTGAGCTGGCAGGCCTGGAGCCTGCCCATTTGTAGAGTGGGGAGCAGGTCCCTGCCCAGCCCATTTGCCGAGGAGAGGAACATGTATGACAACCCAGGCTGCCCAGCCCCATGATGGGGCACACTTGCCAGGGCAGAGAGCCGGTATCTCTTAGTGGCCATCAGAGCCAGCCTTCACTTTGCCAGTGGGGAAACTGAGTCCCAGGCCCTGTGGAGGGGAGTGGGGCCTTGCCCCAATCACCCAGCCTGCCGAACGGAGTCCGTACACTGCCCCAGCCCTGGCTCGCAGTGGACAGAGCGGGGCTCTCCGGCCCCTGGGCAGCAGCCAGGCCTGAGGTGATCAGGCTAGAGCAACGTGTGTGTGCAGACGGCGAGCTCCGGAGCAGATACCTCAGCCTCCTGGGACGCTCCAAGAAAGAGAGCTTTGGAAAAAAACGTGAAAACCTTTGCCGCTAAAGCAAAACCAATTTACAGCATCCGGCCCCAGAGGGCTGGGGCAGAGGAAAGGGAATCAGGGAGCGGGAAAGTCCAAAAGGAAGTGGGGAGGAGAGGGGGCTGGGGTTGAGAAGGTGGCAGGACTCCTGGATCAGAAGCTATGAAGACCGGGGGCTGGCCCTCTCCTCCAGGGTCACCACCGGCTGAGGGGTCAGACAGGTATGGGGGTGGTATCCCTCGAGGCAGCGCTGCAGGAACGGGGTACCCCAACAGCAGACTGTGTTTTGTCCTCAGCTGACACACAGCAAGGCCCTCAGGCCAGAGGCCTAGGCTTCCATCTGGCTGGCCTCCTGACTCCTGGGAGCCTGGGCCAGTCCAACCCCTCCCCCTGCCTCAGTTTCCCCTCCCACAGGCAGCAAGGTTGCAGAGGTGCAGGCTGAGCTCCCCAGCTCCTGCGACAGGGACCCGAGAGCCTGCCTGTCAGAGAACCCTGCAGGCTCGCTCCTTCCCGTCCTCCATCTGAGCTCTGTAATATTGGTATGCAGGTGCGGGCGCAGGTGTGTGGCATGGCTGGCTCGCCGTGCCCAGGCCAGGATGTGCTGGCATGTGGGCATGACACGTGTGCACGGGGCAGGCACACACCTGAGCAGCTGCAGGCAGGGCATCTCTGGCTTGTTATGTTGAGACCCTTAAGTACACAGTATTCCACCTGCACCCACACAGATGTGGATAAACAGGCAGCTGTAGCCAGGTGGAGCCCCCAGCGCCCACTCCTATCCCTGGGGGCAGCATCCGCACTGGGCTGCCTGCAGCCCTGGGGCAGTCCAGGCCTCGATGGGGGTGCAGTGGTAGAGGGGAGACTCCCTGGATCCACCCTTCCCTTCTCAAATACCCCAGTGTGGACAGCGGCTGGTGTGCCCCTCCTAGGCCCCTCTAAGGCATGTCCACCTGAGCCCTCAAGGTGATTTTGCCTGGGATCTCTTCTCCTCTCCTCTCCTCCTGGCTCCCACCCCATGAGTCAGACGGAGGTG